ACTAAAGCTAAAAAACTTAAAAACAAGAGGGAACGCCATCTCTCAATGGAAAACGAGCTGAGAGTTACACCATCACGCCTCGTATCAAACTGCTGTGTTCAGCGAAGCAAGCACAAGTTTCCCATTGAAAGTGAGTAATTGGCTGGGTGTGACGTGGAAAGTTCAAGTGTCCTTATGTGTGCCGCAAATAAAAAAGATTGGGAACCACTGGCGTAGAAGCAGGAAGGAGAAGTGGGGCAAGGCTCGAGTTTCTCCGATCCCTTTCGTCCCGATAACTGATCTCGTGCGATAAGAAAACTGCTCTTTGGATAAAATTCAACAATAATTTCAATATCTCTGCCTCGTTTCTCTGCGTCTGCATGCCAAATCGTTATAAATTGAAACTTATTTCTTACCGTTTACTTTATTACAAAGTTAAAATTCAACGTAGGCTCCAGCATTGTCCACGCACTTCTGTAACCTTACCGGTACATTTTCAACAGATTTTCTCAAGAAGTCTTCTGGTACATTACCAAGAACATCACGAATTTTGTTTTCAATTTAATCAATCGTCCTTGGTTTTGAGTTGTAAATTTCTTTGGCTCAGCCCCACAGAAAGATGTCGCATGGCGTTAAATCTGATCTTCGAGCAGGCCATTCCGTTGGCCCTCGACGACCTATTAAATTAAGTTGCTCGTTCTTCTATAATTTTTCAGCCATTGTTCACCTTTAATAGAAATGATAATAATTAAGATTAAAAACAGTGAAAGAGCGGTTACAATATCTCCTTTGATTTAGGAGCAATAACAATTTTAAAATAGGGAGTGACTTTTCAGACACCCTGTATATTTTTCTGAAATCCTCCTTTCCTAAAAAAAAAAAAATAATACTAAAAAAAAAAGAAAGAGAATCCCTAATGGAATTGATGGGTCCCCATGCCGGTGCTAGGTTTTCATAGGCGTTTGGTGCAGTACTTCAACTTCAAACTTCATATTTCAGTCACAACCCAAGAGTTGGATCGTCTTGACAACTTCGCGCTTTCGGAAGCTGCATGCCATAGCATGATGAACTTCAGCATGAAGGAAATAGGAAACAGAGTGAAAGAGAGGAAATATACTGTTAGCCATCCTTCCCCCGTCGTTCTCAACATTTCTTCACTTGTGAGATCCCGTTATTTGTATTGATAGGTCCGGATAGTCTACGGTGGTTCAATGGAGGGACGCTCAGGACTCGGCTTCCTCCGGATCAGTTGCTCCCTGCGACTCCCACGCTCGGTTTCCATTCGCCTGCGAATAAAGACGAAGAGAGACGCTAATACATACTTATTCCTTATTTTTCTGCTCGAAAAGCGGTTGGTTTGAAACTCGAAGGAGAACGGGACGAAGCTGAGGAGGTCGCTGCCTCTTACTCCGCTTGCTTGCGGAAAAAGGGTTATTTTTTGCTCATACTTTAGTGTCTAACGAACAAGAGGCGAAGACACTTCCACTGGCTCCCAATTCCATCAAATTCTGCTCTGAAATTCCAGATCTCGTCCATCGTACATGTTCGTATTCCTTACATACATTCGTACATGTTTTGGTCGTTTTATCGGAGAACGATGAAAGAGAAGTGACATCAGCAATAGGAAATGCACCTCGAAGATCTTAAAGTACCTCATGCTTTGGAGTCAGTGATTCACTGGTAAGGTCCCAGAGAAGACTTGCAATGGGACCACTGTAGATAGGCTTACATTCCCTGGAATATATGCAAGGATATTTTGGGATATCAGATCCATCAATTTTTCGGCAACCTCTGAGTGAGGAAATGACAAGTCTCAAGCAAGCGACAACAACTTGCGTCACCATCCCGGTTCACATTTGGATTTTATGAAAGCCTGCGGGTGGAACGTTCACATTTGAAAGATCCTTCAACTCTGGCTCGAATAATTTTTTCAGACCATCATCACAATTTTTAGAGAACCAGCCCAAGTTTCGAATGAGACTCAAGTTAGAAAATCACTTCTCTACTCGTAGGGTAATGATTGCGTAAGGTGACGATGTAGTCCCTGCCCCAAGACGGGGATATCTTTCAGGTTTTGGACGAAAAAAAAACAGCAGAAATAATATTTGCAAGTAACTAAGGAAATAACGGAGAGATTCCTGCCAAATTATTCATCTTTATCGAGGAAGGCTTATCTAAAAATCGGGGCAGGGGGGAAGAGGCGGGGGAGGGAGTATTAATACAGGTCCCGAACCCCCAAACCAAACCTTGAACCTCGAACGATGATTACCATGGTCCTAGTCCTGATCCATGCCGATGCCACCACCAATCATGAACACGACCAATCTCGCACTGCCCGAAAGAGAGAGCTCATTTTACGAAGAATGGGAGCATCTCGTGAATGGATCATGTATTTAGCCGTGTTATTTTCAAGATCTACATTTGCATTCGTGTTCCATGGTACTGCCGGCGCGGCATCCTTTGAGCTCGATTTGTCGTGCATGCGTCGACGTGTCGTGCATTAAAAGAGCCAGGGCGAGGTCGCGGCGCGCGCTTGCACATCGTTCCCCGAACCTGCTTCCGTGGGGCGTTTGAGAGCAAGGACGATCGTGTTCCTCATCTCCATCGGATGGCTGCCAGGGTTGGATCAGCAACGATTCTCTTGCATTTCGATGTTAGGAATATCGTTTTGCCTTTTTCGCCATGGGTTCCTCAACAGTCTTGGGCAATCGTCAGATGATGCGATGCAGTTGCTGTCTGACAATTTTATGGAGTGAGGATTGAGAAAATAAAAACTGAAAGTCACATGACTTTTCCTTCATCCATTAGTGAATATTTTCCCTCTACATCGATTTTGCACCATTTCTCGGGCGGTCTATCGAGTGCTTTGGCCGATTCTCAAAAACAGAATGAAGAGATGCTGCTGGCGTTTCCCAGAGCCAGAAGGTAACTCTCAATCAGATATTCCCAAAGTCACCGAATGGCAGTAAATACCAATTTGTCGCATGTAACCTCTAGCAACGCTGAATTTTCATATGAAAACAGAATGCATAAAGTCGGACATGACATCTTCTTCCATAGAGGTGAGTATTGTGTGAAGATTGCAATGTATTGTACCTCTGCTTATAGCAGTATTTTGAAAGTTTAAAAAAACCTGCAGACAATTCTTTACTTTAAAAAAATCAACTTCCTATCACATGACAATAATCTAAGTTTGTTTGTAGCTTGAACTTAGTAAAAAGAAAATCTGCTGCAAAACTTTTTTTTTTAATTGCTGAAGTTCTTACCTCATCTTAAATCAGTTCCAGCATTGTTTTCCGGATGGAGCCTTTGAATATCCAATCTGGCATAGTCATGGAAATCTTTTGAATCGCACTAGACATCTTCCTTTGATAAGCCCCACTTCATATTCAAACAGGACATCTGGACCAAAACAGGAAATATATTCACTTGTCACATCTGGATCACAAGAATTTTAAAAGGTAACGCGTATCAAGACTTCCTCGTGAGGTTTTTCCGTTTCCTAGAGATCTTGTGAGGCCACATTGACCTCAAAAATAACCAACATTTATTCTTGAATTGCAGCTTTTATCGTAACTGGCAACCAATTGTAACGTGTCAGAAACTTAGGAGGAAATTTTATTGTACAAAGGTCCCCAACTCTTTGGTTGCTTCCTTCTGCGTAACCTTCTCAAAACGGCTCATAGCTGTCCTCACGGCCGCTTTCAACATCTCTGGAGAGAGAAAAATGTTGAATCCAAGTGCTTCTCAATTTAAAAAAAATTAACATTAAAATCCATGGATTGAAACAATGGAAAACAATCAGGTATATAATTGATATGGAGACCTTTCTTGGATATCTATTTACTACAGCTATGTATCTTGCTCATAGAGATTCAAGGGTGATGATTGGCATCATCTACCGCTGAAGTCATTCCACCAAAAGAGCCGCCAAATTAAGTATCCAAGGCTTCCATGACTTTTAGTCAATAGCTACGCGTCCACTGTGAAGATGCGACAGGAAATGACTCCTCCGATTCCGTTGCGAAGCGTACTGCGATCGACTGGGAAGGTCCCACGCATTTCCTATGCGACCGATTGCAACCAACTGCGAAAGTCGCAGTGGTCGCAATGCAGCTCTTCGCAGTCAGTGTGCATGGCCCCTTATTCACCAGTTTCCGAAATACCTCTGCGGCAGCTTGCGTCTCATACAGATCCTTCCGGTTTGAGAAATGCTTTTCCTACGAGGAAAAATAACGTTTTTACCCTTCAAGATGGTGTCGTCCATCTGCTTCAGAAATTAAAATGTATATGCATTAACAGGCAATTCTGAGAACCCTTCATGCTTTAAAAATAATAATGATACTTTTTTTTTTATTCCCGAGCAACACATGCATATAAATAACGTCCATGCGACGTAACTCCAACGTCATTTAACTCAAGTCACGTTACAGCAACGTTGCATAGACGTCATGGGCTGCTTGGGTTGATTTTTACCGTTGGTATTTTCATAAAAACAATGGCATACCAGCAATCCCATATAAAGTTTTCCCTAGACCAGAACATACCGTGATTAGACAACCAAACTTACTGGGTCATCTTCGATTAAGTAATTTCATTTTCAATTCGCACCACTTCAAAGATTGCCAAGGACTATTGTGTGGACATTTGGATGATAACGCCCATTGAAGCAATACTAGTAACAATATTAAAGGTGGAATGTATCGAAAATGAAATCACTGTAAAACCGTGTAGAATTTAAATGGTGTGCCTCAGGCCAGTGTGAACGTGGCCTATATGACGTCACGATTGAAGATGGCTGCCCGCGGAGAATCTCCACCAGCGCCGGGTGTGAATGAATTTCCAGCCCACAAGACTCTTCTCCTTCAGCTTTTATCAGATCATTGCTATGACGAGTTTTTCACACATGCGAATTTTTTTAATGGTGAGCACCATCTTTTATAATGGCTTGCTTAACGAAGGCATAGGCTAATCGGTGCCTGGACTGAACATAAACATTTAGATCTAATTTTTTTTTATAGCTTTGTATGAGGGCATGCTCACAAAATCTCTGCCTTTCTTTTTAGTTTCCTGTTTGAAGTCTGCGCTAAGCAAAGTCTTGGGGATTGGAATCATCATTGGGTCTACTCTAGGTGAGTTTGGAAAGTCCCTGTTGAATTGCAGCCTCATCCTGGCTCAGTGGCAGTCAGGATTTTTTAAAAGACCAGTTGCTTTGCTGTGTGAAAGGGGCAAGGGATAGGTGCATTAGCAGGTGCAGCGACCTAAAACAGTGAAGTAGACATTGGCCGGAGCAGAAACCCAACAACCAAGGAAGGGGATTGAAAAAACATACTATGTGACTGGAAAATGATCTCCTTTCCATATCTGTACTTACATGTTTTCATGAAATATGCTCCAACCATATTGACTACTTGCACAAGGCAGGCATATAGATTTACTATATAGAGTTGCATCGCCTATTTTAGCTCGTGCACGGCCTATCACAATCCAAGAGACTTGCCTTGCTTGGATGGGGTGGTAACCCTTGGTGGTTTTATTAACCCCAATAATGATTTTTAAGAGCCTTGAACCACTCAGTCTCCATGTCATGCAGACAAACTATGGATATTATCAATTTAGCTTTAGTTCTTTAGTGATCAATTGCTTTCATTGATTCTAGCTGAGAAACTAGATATGCTGTACTCCATGATGTATAGGAATCAGTGAAGGGTAACACTTAATGTGTTCTTATATGCTGGTGAAAAATAAAAGACAACAGACAATAGCTTATTTTCCTTTGCAGAACAAAATGAAATGTGCATCATTCCACATGATGGATTCAACCATTGCCTTTGAAGAGAGGACATACCTTGAATCAAATGCCTGAAAGTTTTATTAACCCTGTAGCATTAAAATCAATTGCCAAAATTTTAAGGAATTGAAAAGAAAGAAAAGGTCTCAAGTTCTGATTCATATAGGTTATAATTAGATAAGTTGTTCTTGATTTTCAAAGAGGATATTTAATGCATAAAAAAAGTAGAAGTAAATTTGGTGTAGGCTTGGGCTTAAGTAAAGTAGAAATAGGCCTATTGAAAACTTGTTTCTAAATGGTCCAGTTACATATTATAATGATCTGGAGATTGAAAAGTCTGGCTTACTGGAATAATTTTTCAATTATTGACAGTGAAGGTGCCCCAGGTGGTCAAGATTGCAGGTAGCCGTAGTGGAGAAGGTATCAGCATCCTGTCCATCTCACTTGAACTTGCTGCTATCACCTTCAATGGCGCATACAGCTTCATGAATGCTTACCCATTCAGGTGATCCCTCATTAAAAAAAAGCAAAAATCAATGTTCTCAAGTGTCTGTTGGTTCAAGTGTGAATATGTCTGACATAGTCATTCTTCAAGAAGGGCTTCATAAAAGAAACCATTGCTAACCATGTTGTCATCATTCATCTCTGGCCCCAGGTCCCCTACTAAAATTATTATTTGCACTATCATTCATTTTTTGTTCCCCCAAAGAGCCTGGTCATTTATCCCTTATCTGATGAGGTCCATATACTTTGCAGGTATTTTTAGGTGGAAGAGATCTGAAATTCCATTTTTTACCATAGAAACAACAGTATTGATTACCATCCCTTCCAGCAAATATGGGATCAGAAAGTCTTTTTTCAGGGAGTCTCATTTCAATGGATCATGTTCAGATGTGAGCTGCTATGTGTCTTTCTACCCCAAGGACTTTCCCCAAGGATATTAGATCAAGAGTTCATCCATATATTTTAAAATTTTATTTGAACAGGTCAGGAATTTTTTGGGCTTTGAAAGTACATTCTCTCAATTCATGCTTTCAGGAATTTTCTCATGCATTCCCACAATTCTTCTCTATATATTTAAGAAGCTGTTTATCCATCTCCATCTGTCTTAAGAGCATGAGGAAAATGTATAATTCTTAGCAGCTTACAAAATACACTGTGAAAGTGTATATTGTAAGCTGCACATGTCATGAATCATGTTGCTGTTTGCTGATGGATTCTTCAGATGTTATAGTGAGCTTTAAATATATGACAGGAATCTCATTTTTTGTTATGATGCTGAGGTATCATAGGAAGGTAATAATGCAAAATCCCCTGATGTGTTTCTTGGATTGCCTTTCCTGTAACTTTGCTCATAATTGGTGTAATGCCTGTCATCTAAAGAAGCAGTTGATTATTTGTAGATATAATCAGTTAGTTTATTTTGCTTATGGTAATATCCATTTGTGGATATTACCACCCCATTTTAGAGATTTTTCCTTATACAGCCTGTGTATAATGTAATCCCTTGCATCCTTCTCATGGACCCAGATTATATTCATTTTAAAGGCAGATCACTGGAATTGGCAATTTCTTGTTGAGGATGTAAATCATAAAGCAAGTGCTTGATGGAGAAAAACTTAAATGGTAAAATTGGCAAAATTTCTATGCTTGCTTCTTGTACTCTTGCCAGCAAAGGTGATAGTTTTGAGTACAAATGGAGATTGTGATTGACTTCAGTGTTTTTGTGCTCATTTTACCCTTGTGAATTCTTACCTCCTGCAGCAATTGGTGGGCTGAAGTCAAGAGTTTCATTTTGGAAGCCTTCATTCATTCCTTAGGAATTTGATGTTGGGAGTGTGGAAAATTACCATGACTTGGAAATTCTCAATTGGCAAAAATGATAAATTATCATGCTCTTGATAGGCGAAACTAGGGAGTGGGCTTTGACAATTTGCATGCTGATCAGTGTTGAAATTGATGAGTAAAAAATTAAAACTAAATGTAAAAGTTGGACCTTGCCCTTGACATACCAGGAGAGCCATTGCATTTGCAAAAGTACCCAGACCTTTTTTTACTCCTCTCCTTGGAGATGCAAGTGTTCTTCCAGATGTTAACATTTCCAGCAACAGATGAGGAATGCTCTATGATTTCAGGCACAGAAAATGAGATCTTACCTGAAATTTGAGGGGAAACAGCCTAAAAGTTTATTTCACCTGGCCCCATTTTAAAAAGATTTGGTATGCAAAAGTATACCAAGTGATTCTTATCCTTGTGTATATTCTGGCTTTGGTTTTGAATGCATAGCAGTCAGATGAAAATTTTGTTTGGAAATATTGTACCTATGGTGTGCACATGAGCCAAACATGTTTGAAACCATTTATACAACTACATTGTCCATCTCTGAAATTCCTCCTCCATTTTATTCACAATTGCCACAGACCTGGAAGAGGTGGGAAATACAGGGTGTTCGAAAGTCACTGTGCAGTAGAATTAATTTATTTTGTTGCGTGTATTTAGTATTGTACTGTGTATCACATGTATTGCATCATCAAAGACATGAATTTCCACTCAATACTTCATCAAATATTAGCACCATCCCCGATTCACATAATTTATTGCCTGTAATTCCTAGCTACAGTGAGGCCTCCAACATCGTGTTGTGAATTCTACTGCACAGTGACTCTTTGAACACCCTGTAGAAATGGGTCAATAAATTCCCAGAAGTCAAGTTAATTGTTTAATTTCATCCCCAGTTGATCTACTAATTCATAAAGGAATTGGAAAGATTGTGCAGAAGGTGAAGTCTATACAGAAAGGCATCTAATCATCTGGAAAAGTGACTCAGACAGATGTGAAAAGCTTGAAAAAATTAAAGGTAAAACCTATCCATAAAGACAGAAATCCCTGCAGAACATCATTAGCCATAATACTTGCCTTCATCACATAGAAGCTGATATAGCTCTTCAGATTAAAAGAAATATTTACACCAGACAAAACCTCATGGGATGAACTTTGCCCAGGCCACAGAGCTATGCATACAGCATGATTCAAGAGTAGCTTTACAACTTCTATGACTTATAACTTCATGAGCCTTTGTCACAGCACAATGAAAGTGGTATTGAAACAAAGGTATAAACTTCAAGTTTTATTACCAGCAGTTACCACCACTCAATGTGACTACCAGAAATGACATGGCAGATATCCCAGGGATACTCAATCTCAACCCATACCCGTTGCAGTATGTCTGGTGAAACTCTGGCGGTGGTCGCAATGATCCTTTCCTTCAGTTCTGGCATGTTTGACTGCAGTAGTGGCTGGCAGACCTTGTCCTTGATGAAACCCCACAAGAAAAAGTCCAGTGAAAAAATCTTAAAAGAAGTTTGCAGATATCATGCTGTTAAGACTTTTTCTTGTGATGTTAAGGAGATTTTTTTTATAGATTTTTTTGCTGGATTTTTGCTTATGGGGTTTCATCAAGGATAAGGTGTGCCAGCCACCATTGCAATCAAACATGCCAGAACTGAAGGAAAGGATCACTGCGACCACTGCCAGAGTTTCACCAGACATACTGCAATGGGTATGGGATGAGATTGAGTATCACTGGGATACCTGCCACGTCATTTCTGGTAGTCACATTGAGTTGTGGTTATAGCTGGTAATAAAACTTGAAGTCTATACCTTTGTTTCAATACCACTTTCATTGTGCTGTGACAAAGGCTCATGAAGTTATAAGCCATAGATGTTGTAAAGCTACTTTTGAATCATGCTGTATAGTGCAACATTTTTAATGGGCATTGAATTCATTACAATAAAGGAAGGATTAGAAGTTGAGAAAAATATTCACATTGCTGGTCTAGTTTAACACATTCACACCCAGCGACTCCAGAACACTATGGGTTTAAAAACGTAATATTACGGTTCCCAGCGTCAATGGGTTAAGTTGTTACATCCTGTATTAGTACAGAATTGCCTATACTTTTGACCAGGACTGTTTTCTCTATCATCTGTATGAGTTAGTTTTACAAATAGGAAGGTTCCCTATAGTGTCCCATTCATCTGTTTCAGATGAGTTTTCTTTTGCAAGCAGAGGAGCTCTAATTTGTAAGGCATAATTCCCTATCCTATCCTGATCAAGAAGCAAAGCCCCTTTCAATAGGTGTTTGTATTTCCTTATAAAGTTGGTCTTCCTACCCCCAAGAGTGAATTTCCCAACATTCATAATCTCAAATTTCCTCTGAGTGCAGAAATGAGCTATTCATTGTTATGTGCCACAACAATTAAAAGCTTCTATAGCATGAAAAGCATTGTGTAACATTAGAGCTCATTCTGGGAAGTGAAAGTTTCTGATTTGCTGATTGGTCACTGTGAGTGTTAACTTGATGGTTCTTTAACCCTTTGGGGTCAGAGTATTTTGGATAAGTCAGCCCTGTCATTCAAAATTTTCCCATCCCTCATAACACAAGACAAACAGGACAAGATAACTCAGGTGTGGACCCCAAAAGATTAAATTAACACAGGAAGGCTTTCTGTTCGTGCTGCTCTTGAAGAATCTATTTTATTGATCATGATAGGTTTGAGTAACTTCTGTCTTATAAGCTGTTTGTACAATGCTTTGTATACTTGCTGTCAGTGGCTGGAAATTGTATCTTATTCACTTAGTCCATTTTTCTGTTGTTTTTGATGGTGTGGTTATTTCATGGTCACTAACCCATCTTCATTTTTGCAATGCGTGAGAGATTGTTAAAAACCAGGCAATCAGCAGGTGTGCTGGATTATCATTTGGGTCATTCTCCTACTTGTGCCTTAAGTAGGTATAGAGTCTTGACTCATTGAAGAGCACATCTTCAGGAAGCTTAATAAAACTTTCAGTATTTCTTGAAACTCTTGAAGGTCCTGAAACCTGAGTAAGGTAGAGAAAAACCCAAGACATTATGTTCTTACCTGAGGCAATCTGTCATAATGGCTACCTGATGGATTTCTTTTTAAACCATTAATATAAATAATAATTAATATTAATATAAATAATAGCACAGATGGGGAAAATTTTCCAATTGCATTATGAATTTTAGTCATGATAAAACTTAATATACCACTGGAGAAAAGTCAGTAGACTATTCTTGTGTCCATTTTTCCACCTTGGCAAATGAAATTAACTGCAGTGAAGAATCTCGGATATTTTCATTCAATTGGCCTCTCAAAAATTGCAATGAATTTCTCTGGTGAACTTCTCCAAACTTGAAATTCTGACTTATGAATTTGAACATTTTTTAAATTTAGAAATAGGTGATATTTTTCAGTGTTTAACACCACTTTGAACAATCCAGGTCATTTCTCTGATTATCTAAAACTCCTATGGGATCTCTGCTGAAATTGGGATTTGCCCTTTTTGCACTCCTATGCCTTTGGCAGATTTAAGCAACAATTTATGTTCCAATGGTAAGGGAATGCCAGGGGCTCTCCAATTTAGTGGTTCAGTGCATGAAAATCATGATGAAAATAGAAAATATCCAAGTAGTCATTCTCCAGTAGCAACTTGGCTACATCGAGAAATGTATGACTTTCATGTGAGTCTAATTAAAATGTCACTATTCATGAAGTTGAACTATATTTCTGTCTCACAATAGTACATGTATTTTTACAAAGTTATATAAATCCAGTATTTGGTTTCAAGATGTCCTGGAACATCTCACATTATGCTTGATGATACTTCTAACAAATGTTACTAGCCATTGACTTGCTCATGTGAAGTTGGTCAATGTAAATTTTCTGTGTTAGATCCTTTCTTGTGAGAGCATTTCTGACGAAAAAGCAAAATTCTGAGATACTTGCTGGTGGAATAGGTGAAGAAATCTCAAGTCAAAAAAGGTCATACATCATTATCCTAGTCTGCTCGAATTAGTTGTGTTCAATTACAACCCTGACTGAAGTAACTGCTCATTTTGCCCGTTCAAATAACAGCGTTTTTCAAATGATATGTTTAAAAAACTGTTGCATGGTGAAAGAGCTGCATCTTTAAGTGATATGCACCAAATTAGTTTCAAGGAAAGGATATGATTCTAATTTCATGGGAAGTCATATCACTTAGAAAGAAGATTATTATGAAAATGTGTTTTACTGTATGAGGCTAATCATATACGCTCGTGATCGAGTTGATCATGAAATCAGATTAGCTCACAATGGTCACGCAGTGTTCTGAAATTGCCTTGGCTCTACTTTATAATGCTGAGAAATACATGAAACTGATGATGAGTGAGCCATCTCTTCTCGCCCAGCTTTCTTTCAAAGCTGGACCACTGCAATGGGGCAAATTTAACCCCTGCCTCATAATTCCATTTAGAAAACTTTGTGTCGATTCTCTTACTATCTTTTTGACAAAGGAACTTCAGACGTAGGTTAGCCTTTTGCTAAAATGCTGTCGAATGAATTAATGATTTTAACTTGGCCTTTAGTATAAAAGCCTGTTGAAGAATCACGCTGAGTTAAAAGGGCAAATTGTAAAATCTAGTTACAAATTTGTTTATCGAGAATTGTGCAGAATGGCCAACGTTGGCAGTCGCTCTTTGCGCCAAGCTTTGCGAGTCCGCTTAGTTTCGTCCATAATGGATTTGTTCTTCCAGATCTCTGAGAGTACGTGAATGGAGATGAGATACCGTTGAACTGGTGTCGCTCTGGGGATTTGTGACTTAAGGGTTCTAAGTACTGATCTGGTATTGAAAGTACTTCAGAAATATCCTTCATTGCACCAACAGTCATGATAGAAACCTCCAGAATGGAGAGTAAAATCGTCTGTCATTTTTACCTCCCCTTGTTCTATTGCGCATTTCTTTTTCATTTTTGCGTTCCCATGCTTTATTGCACATTACTTTTTAATTTTCAGCTTCCCGCACTTTATTGCTCATTACTTTTTCATTTCTACACTCCCATGCTGCAATGCACGTTATTCTCTCATTTGGAGGAATCAGGCGCCTGTCCTCCAAGCCTTCCTATAAATCGAAATACCGAACGCTTCAAAAAATAAAAAGTGATGATGATATCTCATTTTCTTTCGGCAGTTTTTCCCACGTATATTTCCCTAGTGCTCCTGTTTAAGAAAAAAAGGGGGGATTTAGTTACGTCCTAGGGAATCAAATCCCACCCCATGAGAGAACGAAACTTGCGAAAGCCATAGACAAGGCTTCCACCGCCCTCGAAAACCTGGAGGAAAGTAATCAAGCGAAGACTTCAGGGAACATGAGACATAGCAGAAAATATTATATCAGCTGTTTCTCGAGAAGAGAAATTTCAAGCAAAGAACTTCACAATTTCAACGGGAACTGTGAAGTTCTATGTGTGAATGTATCCGGCGTCCACAGTGTGCATTTTGATAGGTCTTGGGGAAATTATTCAAATGGGCAGGGAAGCCAGGGACTTGTTTCTTACCTCTGCTAATCTCATCTAAATCAGAGATAAATCTAAGTCCAAATCGTACAGAAAAGTCAATTGCTTGTCTCCTTTTTAGATTGCTTTTAGATTCGAATAATTCTCAGATTTATCACGGGCGAGGGCCGAATGCTGAAACCTCCTTTAGTTAACGGTCCTTTAAAAATCCATGGACTCCTATGTGGAAAAAAAAAAGAACTCTAGCTTAAAGGCCCTTTTATCTCGCCTGAATGAGATTTCAGCATTTGGGCCTTAGCGTTACATGAGATTTGGGTTTAGATAAAGCGAACGCCTTGAATATGCCCCTGGAATAGCCCTAGAAAGCCCTGGAAAGGGAAAAGAGGCTTTTTTTCCTTAGATTCTGTACGTCACGTTTGAGTCGGGAAATCCTTGAATTTCTCGGGGTGGTTTTGGAGGTGAGAATTTCCGATGCGGGGGGGATGGGAAAAAAAGGAAATTTTCTGGGAAGGAAAGGAAGAAAAATGACTAGCAGAGAGCGACAAGGAGCACTGCAGGTGTGTTTCATCCCGGACACAGCAGGGGAAATCGTATTGAGTTTCGTCCTTCCTTCCCTTCCCTTCCCTTCCCTTCCTTCCTCAAATGATTAATTAACGCATTAACTAATGACCTCTCCCCTAATTACCCCCGCCCCGGCTACCGACCTCCTACCGAGAATCTTCATCAACGTAATGAAGTGAGAAGGGAAAAAAAAGGAAGCAAAATATCTCACAACATCTTTTCTCGCCTCGGGTCCCCGAGATCAATTAATTAACGATCCTGGAAGTTAATTGCCTCTAAAAGGAATAGCCATTCCGGTTTCCGCACCTACTCCTTCAGACATGGAAATCTGACACTTTTGAAATTGCGGAAGTAATTTTTTCTTTTTTTGGAATTTTGCCGAAATTGGATATTTCCCTGGAATGACTGGGGGTCGTGAGCAGGAAACTTTTACGACGGGATTTTCTTCCTCGGTCGGTTCCCTTGTTTTCTGAGTCTTTCAGAAGAGAGAAAACAAAGGTGGAAAGAGAGTGGGAAATTACAGGAGGACTCGTAAACCTCAATTTCTCAGCTGCGGAATTGATTCATAAACCCTCGACGAAACACACCGGGTCAGGCGCAGTGGAATAAAAGGAGGGAAGGGAAAAAAAAGCGAAACAGGAGAAAACAAGGGGGGTGAAGTAAAAAAAAAATATCAGGATCGTAGACCTCACAGAAGCCCTGGTGAAAACACCTCTGTCATTTGCCCTCAATGATACACCTCCGTTTACAAATAAAGGGGGACATGCACCAGAACATTTCAAATTCAATTATTCATGTTCAGCATGAGTTTCTACGGGAATGACATTAACTCGATTATATGGATTTTCTCAGGAACATATGAATTCAAGTCAATCGGTCTTGTGCGTGCCCCCCAATATCAATAAACTGAGTACGTGAGTTGGGGGACATACTTTTCTGATTTCATGTTGGCGTTGGTGATGCGATATACATCTTATCTTTGCGCCGGTACATGTTTAGAGCAGGTCAAAAAAGGGATTTTCGAAGATAATGAAATGTTGAAGATGGAGTTGTTTTTAGAATCCCCCTCCCTTTTTTTATTTTAGCTATTTCCGCAAGAAGGTGCTTTTAGGTACTAGCAGAAGTTCAAAGTTTTTTTTTCAGATTTCTATTCCCAACTATTGTTTTATTTTTATTTAAGTTTTTTTTTTAGAATTTCTTTACAATCCATTTCCTAAAGCCTCAAAACTTTTTAAAATGTTTTTCGCATAATTCGGTCATATAACGAAACTATCATTATCTTTTTTGCACACTTTTGTGTACATGAAATGACGAAAACCTACTATCCTGCTGAAAATAATTCCTTCCGCCGCAAATTTCCGCTGTCCTATTGATTTCTCGTACTTGCCATGTCACCTTACGTTGAAGGCGGAAGCAATGTATGAAGAAATCCGTCCCATGTGTAAGCGTCTTTCTTGCACCGAAATTTCATCCTTTCGTAAAAGAGCGATAGAGTGTATGATGAAGCTTGGTTACTTTTTTTTTTTTTTTTACTTAGCCATTCAGTATATATAACCTTACATTGGAATCTGTTGGTCATGAGACAGATTCCCGCTGGAATCTATGTTGAAATGAGATTTCAGTTCTGGCAGATACCCGACAATTGATGAATGAATCAAGATTATCAGAGTATCAGAAGTGAGATTTTCTTCTCATCCATTGCATAAGAATGAAATTTATTTTCGTCTTCCCTCCATATTTCATGGATTCGCTGATGACTGATCTGCAGGTTCTTCCAAGGATTTTTGGCAGGCGTAACGTTGAGTCGTTTCTCCCTGTGTTTTCCCACCCTTTCAAAGAATCCCTCTCTGTAACTTTTTTGTCTGTAAAATGGATCCGAATTTTTAAACTTATAATAATATTTTTTTAATACAATATTAATGCTGATGATATTTATTAGTTTTTGTTTTGTTGCGGGGGCAGTGCATGGGGAGAGGCGGCGTTTCTGGCCCTGCAGACGGTGCTGATCGCAGGGATGGTGCTCCACTTCGGAGGAAGTACCCAGGGTGCCCTGGCTTACACGGGGATGTACACCCTCCTGTTGGCGATGCTCGTCTCGGGCCACACCCCATCCATCGTGCTCTGGTACCTGGCGTCGTCTGTCATCCCCCTCATCCTCGGCGGAAAGGTCTGTTGAGGGTGGATGCACATGTTATTAATGATCATTTGGAGATGTTCCTCGAAGGAAGTTTGGGATAGGGCCCATTAGTGGCCATCGCGATGCTGGGACATGAATAGGATCTTCTCGCTCTCTCGCCTACTGAATCGATGCGACCTATTTTTTTTTAATGTCGCAGAACAATATATTAATTATGTGTAACGTAGTCAATAATTAATATCATAATTCCTTCATAAATTAAGATTTCTATAATTTTTGAAGACCTTGTTGCAATATTCTTGCGTATTTTCCAGGTTACAGATTTCTTTAAATTGTGGATGACACCAAAACTCCACGAAACATTACTTTGAAGCTTCATGGAGATATAACTGAAAAAAATGTTGGCCTCGCCAACATTTGTATCTGTTGCTGACGTAATTCACCGTCTTCCTTGGGGTGATTTTTTCCATCATATTTTTCGAGTCAAAAGTCATGCAAGTCTTCGTTGGTGGCGGCGGAGCATGAAAAGGAGGAATCCATCATCGGCGAGGAATTGGGTTTTGGGAATCCGGGAAATGTCTCTCCCCGCCGGATTTGCATAATTGCACGAGAAGGAGGCACAGGGGAGGGAGAGAGAGAAAGAAAAAGAAGAAACACACACCGCCCTCTAATTACAGGTTGAAACAAAGAAGCGGCACACGACTTGACAGAAACAAAAATCATGATAATGAAAATGGATGCCCCTTTCCCAGTCATAGAACCTTCCAGGATGGGAAGAAGTAAAAAAAAAAAAAGGGAAAGACCTCCCATCACTTCTCTTCCGGGGTCTTCTGCCGTAATTCGCGTTCCCATGCTCCGCATGCAACCGTCGCTATGCCCAACGGGGTTTTTGCGTCTTCCATACCTCATCAATTTCCACAGTCGCTATAATAGAGGAAGGGAAGATCGGGAACTTCCAGGATTTCAATCACATTATTCTTGTGCGAGAAATAAAACAGAACGTGTTTTGAGTTATGTTTCCATTAAAAGCAGTCACATGAATAAATTTCGATGCATAATTCGCTAAAGGCTGAGAAAAAAGTATTCTCTCCCATAAAAATCTGCATTTAAAAATATATTTAATTTTTTAGTTTAAAAAAATTAATTGAAAAGGTTGAAAGCTTAGAATTCACCTGCTGTACTTGGAAATTTGATGCAAATTTTATTTTTGTACTATGAGCCCGCTTTCATGTGGATGTCATTGGCGAGTTCAATGATATTGCCGAAGAATTTATTCTGAATGCTCAAAATGAGGAATTTCGACAGAAGCTGAAATTTAAAGAAGGGGAATTTGGTTGGGGAATTCCAGGCCATCCAGGCGTGGCAGAACGTGAAGCAGGGCCACACGGGCCAGCTGTCGGGTCTGACCCTGTTCCTTCTCCTGGCCGGGTCCTTAGCGCGAATCTTCACATCGGTGCAGGAGACGGGGGATCCTGTCATTGTCGTTTCTTACCTGGCCTCCTCTACCGTCAATGCCGTCATCCTGGCCCAGGTACCCATGCTTACCCGTCACTTACTGCTTACCACCACCTTCAGGGGGAAAGAAGGATAATAATTCTCTCTCTTGTCAAAACACATATATCAATAAGGACGCAAATTTCATACTTCATTTCAATCAACTTTCGTGATTTACATCGATTTCAAATCAGTTAAACTCAATTTAATTTATTGTACTATTCTATATAATTGAATCGATTAGACTGAGTTTCACCCCAGATTTAATTCCGATATAGTTTTCTCTCTTCTATAGTTTTCAATCCGATCGTGAAAATATTCTATACTTGGCCTTTTTTGTTTTCGTGACCAGATAATCTGGTACAGGAAGGCGACTGCGAAGCTGGTGGAGACGAGACGAGAAAAGAAGGAGTGACAGGGACTTTGTGATAGATTTGATAATGTAAATGTTGTCATAAGTTTCTGGACGCGGTTCTATTTCCTTGACGAAGTTTCGTGTCGCGTTGGCGTCGTTTTATGCCTTGATGAAATAAAGGGGGAAACCCTGATTCCGATGGACGGGTGCGTGCCTAATTCGAATGTCACGACTTTTGCACACACGCACGGGGGGGGAAGAAGGGGGGATGTTATGAAAAATGGCGACAAACTCGCGACGATGCCTCGAGGGGGATTCACAAAGGGAATTTGTCGCCTGTCGCCCCTGGCCCGGGATTCCCACGCTGTCTCTGTCTCTCCTTGCGAATTTGGCTTCGGATGAAAAATTCGCGACGGCTTTTTTTTTAGTTTCAGGCGTCAAAGAAAATGAAAAAAAAAAAACGAGAAGAAAGATGAGTATGGTATGGGGTCGACCTTTGACACGGGGAATAAATCCTTCCCGAATGCCACTTTCAATTAGCGTTCGAGTCAACACACCGATCATTACGGGTTGATTTGCGACTCCTCACTCATTAAGTCTTGAATAATCAAGACCCGGCTAATGAGAGGAAGGAGGATCGGCCTCCGTCGGCTCCTCTGCACAAAGAACGAAAGAAAGATGGCAGGAAGAGCATGCAAAAAAAATATAAAGATTTAAACTTTTTTATGACTGCAAAACTTCTTGGCCATCTGCATCGGAGAGAGAGAGGGGGGATGAATTTGCGACAACCGTCGCAGGTAGGAAGGAAATGTGCTGAGTCAGCATGAGAGGCTTTCTCTCACCCCCTCCGGCCTGGTTCCTTTTTCTTTTTTTTTTTTTCTTTCTCATTCCCTCTGGCCATTTTCCACGTCTCTCTCTTGGCCTCTTCTCCCGCCTTAACCCTTAAAAGGAAAAATTGAGACGAGGAAGGAAAAATCCTGAATGGGGCCGGAAACGATAAAATTCGTTCGGAATGTCTGACAGACTTTTACTGCCTGATCGAGTGAGACATCAAATGAAAAAAAAAGGAGGGGGAGGAGGAGAGAAAAGGTCTGAGAGGGAGAGATCTCGCAGGGGGTGCATGCCCTCGGGGCGCGTCCAGGTGTCTCCAAACATCAACTATTTTCACTATTTCCATCCGCGTCACTGAATTCTAGAAAATTTCATTATCGCCAGGTAAAACACCAATAAATAAGAAAAAAATGGTTAGAGGACACCCATATTTGAAAACCTTAGCTGCTTCAATCTGAAATGATGGATGTTGCGGGGAGACGGAGTCCTCTTCTCAGTCGTGCGATAATGTTTTTTTTTCTTTGTACTTGATTGGCACACGGCGATTTGCAGGGCGTGAACGGAAGTGTCACGATAATCCATGCAAGCCGGGTTTAAATCCCTCGACGTGATCCCCTCATTTTCCTCCCCCTTCCCCTCTTTCTTTTATTCCTAAAAAAAAAATTATCTATATCTATAAATTAGGCTTTTTTTCGATTCCGTATCCATTCGACACACCGTCGCTCCCTGCAGTAAATAAAGACGATAATGACAAATCCGTTAATAAAAGTCGGAGGAAGGGAGATCCCACCCAGGACGAGGAATGACCGCGCATGGGAGGCCCACGCTTCAATTCTCATTCTCCATAAGTTTTAATGAAGAAATTCTCCCCGATGGAATCTTTTACGGTCGCGGTATAAAAATGAATCCGTCGACCTTGGCGAAGGAAAAGGATATAAGGAGAGAGATGAATATGATGGATGTGTTAATCATCCGTGGACAAGTTGTCCTTCTCCCGTGTCAATTAGGGTCAATCTACCGCCCATTAGGCATCATCAACCCAGATGGAGGGCATGAATGTTTTATGAGGGTCCCCTCCGCCTCATGCCATGCCATATTCATGCCTCCCCACATTCATGCATGCATGCAGCGATCCTCGTTCCCAAGGGAAACACCGCCACATTCGCACACGAAATGACCGGTTCCATTGGATCCAGGAGCACTGGACCACTGTATGTTTAAATCGCGACGAATCGAGCATCAAATGGTCCTGAAATCCTTTTCGAAGTTCGTTGACGAATAGCTAAAATTACTAGATATTTCCTTCTGGAAAATTTATTTTCGCGCCAGACTTACAGCTTTAAAATCCAATCGATTTGATTGTGTTTGACCAGGCTGCTTTGCGAATAGCAAACAAACCGTAGGTTGGGACATAAGTGAGGATAAGAATGGACTGTGAACTGGCGCAAAAACCTCGCGGCTTAACTACAAGCAGAGATAGAGCTAGATCTTTTCTCAACTGCATTAGTAATTTTTTATTTGCTTTTTCCTCAATTTATTTTTTGGGCGTTAGAGGCATGGGGCTCTTTCGTTTGTAATATACTGCTCTGCCAACTGACCCCATGAATATTCCTACCTACCAAGAAGAAACGAGCAGCATTCACGTTGTTCATACAAGAAAATTCCGAGCACAATACAGCACAACAATATTCGTATTGATCCTCGCACTATAGCTGTGGTGCTTCAGGTACCCCGGGCAAATAAATAGGGATTCCTTCGCAAGGTGATGAAGGACATCGATGCCATTTATCCTTATACTAATATGGGAAGGTTTCGCGTTCCCTCTTCACTTGAGCCACTCATGGCTATAAAAAAAAAAGTCTAACGTTCAAAAATTAAGCTTTACTGTCAACTTAAATTCTGGGGGACCAAAGGGACTCTTGGTATAGACTATTGGATTGTGGAGCAGATCAGGGGCGGATACCGAAATTTTTTATACGCCCCTGGCTTCAAGCCCTTCTACTATATCTGCTCCAGTGGCGGATACAGGGGGGGGGGGGGGAATGCCCCCCCTATCCCCCACCTTGGCCTACCACCATTCCTCGTCCTTTTGCTTTTTTTATTTTTCGTCTGGGGTAAGAACTTGAGTGTCTATTTCAATGGCTCCGATAAAATTTAATGCAGATACTATTTTGAATAAATAAATCAAATGCTGAACCTGGCCATAGGGGGGGCAGTCGCCCCCCCCCCCCTGTATCCGCCACTGGAGCAGATATAGTAAAAGGGCTTGAAGCCAGGGGCGTATAAAAAATCAAAATCAAAAACTTGTTCCTGCAGAATGGGAGACACAGGTCGATCTGGCTTGTCTTTCCTTATTTCATTTTTACACGTGAGGGATGTCGGAGCCTGTGTCTGCAGGTTCTGTATCGTGCAATCCCTTTGTTTCCAGCACGGGAAGCCATACCCATCAGAGACTGGTGAGTTCTTTTTCTTTTCGGCATGTGCATCGGGGTCTGCCGCCTCGTGCATAAAATGTTGGTCGATTCGCGAATAGTTCCATTTACGTCGCGCAAGTTGTCGAATGATGTGGGCAATCTCGCCTGAATCCTTGAAAGAAAACGGCCTAGGGCTAATGGCGGAGACATGCATTCCCTCCCTCCCGGCCGGGAAGGCGATTACCCCTTTGGGAAGGGATAGCCCCTTAGGGTAGGCGATTGCCCCTTCCACGGTCTCCGAGGGGGGCGAGGGGGTTGGCTCACCTCCCACAAGGGCGGAAGGTTCATGTTGAAACCGCAGGGTTATTCAACGGCTCGTTCCGTTTGGAATCTGTGGGAGGTGGCGGTATAAAAACGGTTATATTTCCCCCCTTCCCCCCCCCCCCTCCCTTTAGGCCGAAGATGATATAGGCACTTGCAGTCTTCGGTTGTCAATCATAATCCTGTCCTTGTCTTCGTTTGTGCACTTTTCAGATAGGGGTGGGGTCATTATAGAATGCCCCCTCCCCACTTAGGAAACGATCTTTGCAAAAGCAATTCATATGTTCCACTTACATTTCAAATCGTAACATTCAAATTGTAACACGCTTGCTTTTGTTGAAGCTCATACAATAGGGATTCTCCGACCTATTCTTGATTTACTACCGCATAATCCCATTCATCTGCAAATATGCCGATTTATCATATCGCACAAAATTGTCTAAAATGAGAAATACCTATCTTAAAGCATAACATGAACTAATCGACGAAAAAGTAATAGGACATCGCTGACATGCTAACCGACTATACAATATGTTAATATACTTTAGATGACTGATGAGGTATCAGGCAAACAGGTGATTTACTCTGGGAGGAACTCGTTTCCCCGATCCCCAGCGATTTTTTGCGAACATTTGCAGTTTACTGGACGGGCAACAAATGATTTCTTCGATCGGCAGTCAGCAGGGGAAAAGAGACGACACCGAGGGCAAACAGAGCGGTAGCAGCAAAAAATTAATGGAAAGGGAATCCAGGGTTCATTCGTCATCGCCTCCACTCCAGCGCAGAAAAAAAATGGCGAGGAAAAAAAAGCGATGAGGGAAAAAATGAAGTGCCTATATACTATTATCGTGGAGCACGGGACACGAAAATGCGGAGATGTGTGAATCGCGTGTGGGCGAACGATTGGCAGGGGGGAGACGAGGTCAGGGGTCATTACAGGTCGCAGTCGTCCCCCTCTGCCCTACTCAATCCATCAACGTAAATCACCTTTATTTTTTTTTTCCTCTGCCACACACAGACAAAAACGAATGCACCGACTCTGGAGTTTCTTTTTATGACCTCAAATCCGTGCCGGGGCCCGAAACTTGTAAATTTCTTTTTTTTTCCACCTCCCATCGGGAGAGGTGAGGAATTTTTCCGCTCCACCGGTATTTATTGCAGGGGGGCGAAAAATCCCGTTATTGCTAAATTTAGCCTGCTAATTTCGGGGGCACCAGGCAGTCTGGTGGAAAGGATTTTTTTCCCCTTTGTCCTCGTGTCATTTCGGGGGCTGAGAGGGCAATGCACTCGTTTTAATCCACATTCCTCGCCCCCCGCCTCTTTTATTTTTTTCACCTCGCTCCGCTCGCGTCGGGTCAGGGAGGGAGAAAAAAAAATTTTAAATTCCAGGAGAAAAAAAAATTGTAATGAGAGAGAGAGAGGAAAAAAGACCGGAAGCGTGCATTTTCATGGCGGTTTCCACCATTAGGGGAGAATGAAACAAGTCTCCGCGATTTATGAGTCCCGCTTCCTTCAATGCAACAAAAAAAAAATCCTCCCTTTTTTTTTCCTTTTTCCTTCCATTGAAGGCGTTTAAAATGAAAAGGACGTCCTGTCAGTCGGAGTGACGGGACTCAACGAGTCTCAAGGACATA